TTTTTAACAACATGTTTGTATTAAAGTAAAATTGGATGATAAATACACCTTTCGTATGGAATTAAATAGCAAGCACTTTGAGTATCTTTTTCATCCTATTTATTTTCATATAAGCAACAGAACTGAAATTATATCATGTTTATTAGCAACACAGCATGTAAGTGAGAAAAACGCAATATCATAAATAAATTTCATAAATGTCCGTCTTGACTGCGCTTATTTCACTCCTCCCCTCACTGTAGCCGCCTACTCTCGCCTTCATTTCAGGCGAGGTGTATCTCAAACAAGCCTATCGTCTCATTCCCTCATCTCAGGGAACCGAGGTTATGTGAGTAACCGAGAGCGTTTTCGATTGCCATTCTGGCACAAATCTCTCGTGGGGGTGGGGCTAGCAGTAGTGTGTTCTCATTGGCTACTGAGTTTTTGATTGACAACTTCTTGACCTGGAAGTGAAGGTGTCAGTGACAGTGTTGCCTTGCCAGTGTGGATGTGAGCATCTGTTAGCGGCTTCCAATATCATTTTAATGATATAAAAAAGTTATATAAAGATTTTTTTTTAAAAGATTATTTTATCAGTATTTATCTGCTGCTACACTACATTGTTGAGATGATTTCTTAGGAATAGCACAGATGAATCATCATCATTATCATCAATCATCGTCGCTATCAGGATACTGGCGGTAAGTTTTCTTGATTTAGCCCAATCATTACAGGACCTGGTTATCTGCATACAGTTAAAGTCTTCAAATAGATCATATTTGCTTCGATTAGTTCATATTTTCCCCCGGCACATAGAGTAATGTAATGTTAAGTTTGAAATGTTTAATGTGAGTTCAAAGCAGTTTGTATTGTTAGACTATAATACATGTCCTTTCTCAATTTCCAGGGAGCGGAGCAACTTTTCCATAAACAAACTTCTGATGCTGACCCAGAGGATGTAGGGGTAGTACCAGAGATCCATTGCCCCCATCAGACAAGATTCTTACTTTGTTCAGACACATCACTTTTGAATGACTGGGATCTTGATCTTCAGACACCCGATATTATGCAAATATTTTAATTTCTTTGGAGCTCTAGATTAAAACAAACACAGTTCACAAGTACACAAGAGGTTGCACTTTATTTGTATTAGTCTATGCTGATCTTGGATTAGCATACCAACAGCATATGATTGTTAAGGGGATAGTTCACTCAAAAATAAAAATTCTCTCATCTTTTACTCACCCTCATGCTGTCCCAAATGCATATTACTTTCTTTCTACTGGACAGGTAAACACAAATTAAGATTTTTAGGCAAATAATCCATCTCTGAGTCCTGAAGATGCTTTAAAAACCACACACAGTTACTGTGACAGTAATCCATCTGACCTTAATGGTTGAATCAGTATCTTTTGAAGTGAAACAACAGATAAGAAAATAATTTGAACTTTTGACTATTAACAATCGCTTCCGTCATACGTGCATGGGTTACATTTCACTTGTGTTATGCGGATTCTCAGAGATGGATTATTTTCTTAAAAATCTTTGTGTTTATGTCAAGAAAGAAAGTCATATACATCTGGAATGGCATGGAGGTGAGTAAATGAGAGAACTTTAATTTTTTGGGGTAAAATATTCCTGTAAAGACTGAAATTGCACTCCATTACACAACATACTCATTCACTGTTTTGTAACTTATACTGTAACAGGAACTGTTGAAAGGATCATTGCAGTGTTTAAAACATATTATGAATTGTAAACATATTCTGTATATTATGTTCTTGTGCATTTTGTGTAGTAATGTAAATTATGAGAATACTGTGCATAACATGTATACTATGCAGTTAGTGTTTCGTGGATTCTGGTCTTTCCTGTCACAACATAATTGCATCCAAGACTTTCACTTTGATACTTGTGTATATGCTATAGTGACAATAAAGAATGTACATATATTTGAATTAATTCATATTTTCATTTACATTCATTAAAACTGGTTTATAAAAGTCACACTTGAAAGAGTTGATGATTGTTAAAATGTTTTTCCAATTTTAAATGTTAGATGATAATGTATCAACTAAATAAAATAACTAAACAAAATTATCAGTATGATAAAAACAATGGGCTGCAAGAACATTCTTTGTGAGGAATATGTAATAAAATGAGCTTGATTGCCTGGTTGGAGAGAGACTTTCTTGACGTCTGAATATATCACACATATATGATAGTATTTCAAACTAATTAGACCCTACAATGCAAAAGAATCATGAGCAATAAACAAATATCCTACGAGAACACTGGACATTATACAATATTTCCAGTATTATATACATTACTTTTAGGGATGCACCGATACCACTTTTTCCAGTACTCGCCCGATACCGATACTTTTATTTTTGGTACTTGCCGATACCGAGTACCGATACCAATATTTTTATTGTATTTCTAAAGTTTTAAAATATTGGGTACAGAAACCAAAAGAGTATGTATAATGTTAGTTGGTTAATTTCATTTATCAAATAGATACAGTCAAACCAAAATGTATTCAGACACCTTCAACATTTCTCACATTATCACAGTTTATTCACTATAATTTAGAAAATGGTAATAAATATGACAAGAACTCAGAGCTAAACTGTGTCAGAACAAATTCAGCTTGATAATGTCAGATAACTTTGATAGAAAGGGATGTAATGGATTACAATAAACCAAAAATTATTCAGACAGCTGTTAGTATGACAGTATTTACACAACCATCAATACTTAGTCGGGCA